ATTAAGCACTTTTGGAATTACTGGGTGTCCCGGTTAGGTGTGTTGTTTGCTGCGTGTCGGGAGCTGCTTGGGCGTTCGCCATGGCGTTCGCCTCCTTGAAGCAATGAACCCTTTCGCCTCTCAGGGTGCTCATCTGCGTCTCCAACGGCGTCAGAACCTTCCAGATGGCGAAGGTCTTCCGTACAAGTATACTACTACATCCCTGCACTGGACTTTATGTCAGCTTGGCTTCGGTTCCTCGGAGATTGAACCGGTCAACACGCCGGAGAGGTTTTTGGAGCATGCCTATGCCTTGCGCCAGGCTGTTGTTGCAGACTGTGAGGTGCCCATATTGGATCTGCTTTCGAAACCGTTGCAGGCCGAGTTACAGACTTTCAGATACATCAGATGCTTGAACCAGTTGGACGTCATGAAGCAGCTCGTTTATTCCGTAGACCAGCACTCCATACAGGCCATCAAAAGCCTTTCCAGGGTAGCAGAGATGAGTCTCTGGACCCCTTGGCTTCACATCGGAGATCTTACCACGCTCGATGTCTCGGGAGTCATTGTGTTGGATGTGCCAGGCTTTGCAGACACCCTCTGCCGCTCAAGCGAGAGCCTACTCAAGGCCCAGGAGTATGCTCAACGACTTGCCCAGCTCATGAACCAGGAGGCGCCGTGACAGACCTGTGGCAGTGTCAGGTGGGCCCTGCTGCTGCCCCGCGGCAGGGCACGTCCGAAAGCCCCGGACGAAGCATGAGTCTTCCAAAGCGCCTCAGATTCTCCTGGCGGAGCCCGAGCCCAGCACCTCCGATTTCCTCCAAACAGATTCTGCCACACGGCTGAACAGTCTGAGCAACATATCTTTGTCGTGTCTCTCGTTTCCCTGGTGCTTGAACCGCAAATGGGCCGACGTGCAATCACGAAAGGCGAGTTTTTCCCAGGTGCTCGCATGCCATCTGCCCGTGTTTCAGCCATGGATTTGTGTTCTGAAGCTAATATTAGGGCCTGAATGTTCCGAAGAGGGTTAAGGGGCTAATGCTTGTATAGGGACTTGAAGTGCATCTATTGCCAATTACGGGCGGATGGCACCCACTGATTTTGTACAGAGTTGCGCCGGACGATTCCCATACAAACACCGTCTGCCGTTCTTCAAAGGACACATGCATGGGCATAGGCCCCAAGCAATCGCACTGGCTCATGGAATGAGCTTGTCCAGTTTTGCTTTTTCTATCTTCTCTATTTTTTCTCATCTTTCGCCAAAAGGGCGACGAATCTTGAGTACAATACATCCTCGACAGACCTTTCGCCAAGCTCAATAAGCAAAAAGGTCCGTGGCTTGAGTCCCGACTACTTGGAGGATCATGGGACTTAGGAAGTAAGGTTAAGTAGCCAGGTTGAAGTTGTAAGTAATCAGAAGCAGAATTGTAGTTCCTCAGTTAAAACCCTGGTTGCCAAGTCCCATGATCCTCAAATCTAGCACCCTATGTTGCATCGTGATGCGAAGCCGGTGAGGAACGCCTTATCCTGACGCCTTCCAAGCTGTGTCGGCTCGAGGATCTTGTGCCACTTCCGCAGAATGTAAAGGATTCGCAAGAAGTGCTGGGCGCTTGAAAGAGAGGGTTTTGGGGTGTAGGGTTTACGGAAGTTAGGGTTACAGGCTATAGGCTATAGGTTTAGGGTTTAAGGCCAAATGGTGACTAGGCACTGTAACTCATGATGTGTATATAATATTTATCCTGGCAACTTCGCCACTTGAAAGGGGATTGATGGTACGTGAACAAGAACATAAGACAAATGGCAAAGAACGGTTTCACACAAGATCCCTGCAGGTAGCATCAGATAGTCATGAGCTGTCGCAAAGCCTTGTGGAGGGAAGACCGAGGTCAGAATAGTAGGGTTTAGGGTTTAGGGTTTAGGGTAAAAGCCATTATCCGGCGGGGAAGCTTCCACGTTGCACTCACTCAGACACGTCTCTTAAGCTTTTGGGCATGTCGTGCAAAAGCTGATGGAAGAGCCCTTGGAATGCCAGCTTTGCCGATCGTCTTCATCTCAGTTGCACGGACCTGGCGGCTGTTTCAACAAAGGCTTTAGGGTTTGGGATTTTCCGGCTTGGGTCCCTTTTCGGGTGTTATAGGGGTTCAGAATTGGAAATGTTACCTCTTGATATCAGAGCTCCGACACCTTCGTCTTCGATCATCCCAAAACCAAGCCGTAGCTTCCGTTGCTGCCGAGGCGAAAGCATCAAGGCCACCTCGATCCCGACAATCTGCTCTGGTACTGCGAGGAGATGGCTCTGCTACGTTGTGCCATATTCATCCTGTTATTTTCTACAGTATTAGGGTGATTTGATGTTATGTATTATGTTGTTACATTATGTTATGTTAGATTGATTCACGTTGTATTGAAAATTGTATGGCATCAACATTCAAGGAGAGATGCCAGGGGCAGCGCACAGCGCACGCGGGCTCGGGAGAAGTGAAGCCTTTGATAGGCTTTCGGGTTGAAAGCTCAGGGTTACCCTAAACCCTAAACCCTAAACCCTAAACCCAAACCAGCCACTCTGAGATGGAAAGGACTGCTGGATTGGCTTCTCCGGCCACTCGCGTACATGCTTCCTTTGCAGAGAGTCCGGGGCCCAATGGTCGGATTTGGCTGACGTGTACACAAATGCAGGTTTGTTTAGAGATTGTCAGCAATGTGCATATCAGCCTTCAGCTTTGTCAACACCAAAGTCGACACGCAATATTGTCACAAATAGCTGAAGCATTGTATTTTGAAGAGCCCAAACCTAGATGGCTCAACCCCAGAAGTGAGACCCTTGCAAATGGCATGTGCCAGCCCATTCTTGAGGATGTGTTGAAGCTCTCTGAAGAAAAGAGTGCATGGCCCTTTATCTCAATGCAGCCTTGACGGAACATACACCGTATGTATATATGTATATATATATATACATACATACATAAATACATACATAAATACACACACACATACATGCATGCATGCATACGTACATACATACATTATGCATATCTGTCTATATATATATATACATATATATATACACATATTAAAAACATAAATTTACGCAACCGCACATACATATACACACATATCTTATTACTATCTATATCTGTACCTATACCGATACCCATACCCATATCTATATCTATTTCTATGTTTGTATCTATATCTATATCTCTCTCTATATCTGTATCTATATCTATATCTATATCTATATCTATATCTATATATATATATATATTATCTAAGTTCTAAAGGTATGTGTTAGTCACTAGGCAAAAAGCTGACGCCATTGCTTTCAGCAGCTGACGAC